GACTTAATTACTCGAGTCAAATAGACTTCGAACAGAGTATAAGATGAACCAATTAAATGCACATATATTTTTCTTTATTAATTTTTCTCATCATAAATGCAGCAATGCAGGGAGACTATCTCGAGTTAAGGTCATCTAAATGTAGGTCAATTCATCTTCGAGGTCACTCTACTAACACATAATTGACATCACAAATCTCACACACGCGGTTCAGACTCATTCACTAGATCATAGTGTGTGTAGTGCAAATGATTACATGACGACACATATACTCAGTACTCCAAGTTAAACCGCACCAAGGAATGAAAATGACAGTGCAAAATAGATAATTGCTCACTTGGTCATACATAACATGTTTAAACTCATAACAATGTGTTGTTTGCAAAACGAAAAGATATTTTGGTATTTTGCCCATTTTTCAAAATTTTTTTAAATAATGCTTAAGGCGAATAAATGTAGAAGAAATAGAAACAACCAAAATAATAAAAAAAAAAAATGGGATGCATGCACGAATGAATGGATACAATAGACAACACATGCATGCATCTAAACACCAATTCAAGGCGAAATTTGAATGCCCTTACTGTGAAGAGTATGACCATTTTCACGACCTTCGAGATTGCTCCTTTTGACCCAAACTTTCTTAGAAGCAGAAGATGATTGAGTTAACCGAGTCATCATCCCAATTAAGTGGCTGACTTGATTGGCAAGAAAGTCAACCTTACTAGTGAAATCCTGATTCTTACTTCTAGTCACACGGTTATGACACCTAGGTCTATTGTGTCCCAGTGCACCACAGTGGTGGTAAGTGAGAATGAACATAGGTTCAAACCTTCTCGGTGGTTGTTGCCGAAATGTAGGACGACTAAACCTACGATGTCTGGTAGGTCTCGATCCTATGGCATGCTTACCCTTAGGTTTGGGATAAGCAATCTTATGAGTTTTGTTAGTGACAGGAACGAACATGGTCCTGGATGTACTAGCAGTAGTATCATGGTTATCAACATAACCCAGACCATGCATATTTCCAACATGCTTGTTCATCCCAAGCAGAGTGTCCAGCTTCTGCGAGCCATTCATAAACAATTGAAGTTAAGTTTTAGAATTATCAAGATCAGTAGTTAATGATTTAACCTTAATTTCCAATTTTCATTAACCAGTTTCAACGCAGTCAATTTTCTGGTCGAGTCCTGAAGGTCACTTAACAGTTTCTTACGTTCAAGTTCAAGCTCGTTCATCTTTTTCAAGATGGTTTTATTGACCTTCTTAATTTTGAGACTCTCCTCAAACAATTCACGATAAAATTCGTGAATATCAGTCTTTTCATCAGACTCTTCTTCAGATTGTTCACTTGCATTAACTCTTTCAACATTTTCAATCTCACGATCAGATTCGATTGTAGCATCGAGGTGAAGGCCATGAATTTTCGATCATCCTTACCACCAGATGTCTCATCATGAGAACTGGTATCTAACTCCTCATCACTCATGGTCACATCTAAAGCTTTACCCCTTTCCTTATTCGAGCTCTTATTTAGATTAGGACATTCATTCCTAAAGTNCCTTATTCGAGCTCTTATTTAGATTAGGACATTCATTCCTAAAGTGACCAAATCCCTTGCACTCAAGGTATTGGATAGATTGAGATTTCCTAACGGAAGTCCTAGAGGTGTTATTCTCATGCCCACCTCTTGAGAATTTACTATGGACTTCTCTATTTCGCTTTTGAGATATTCTTCTATTTCTCATCACCTTCTCAAATTTTTTAACAGAATAAGCAATTTCATCATCTCTAAGGGTCTTAGTGTCAGTTGACTCGCTCTCAGCTTCTCTAACAGTATTCATGGAGATGGATTTCTGTTTCTTAGGCTGTGTTAAGATCAATTCATAAGCTTGGAGGGATCCTACGAGTTCTTCTACTTTAAAGCTGTCTGAGTCCTTACTTTTTTCAATGGCAGTTACCTTATATCTAAACCTTTCAACTAGGGATCTAAGAACCTTACGAACGATTTTCGACTCAGGGATCCTTTCGCCTAGATTAAAACTAGAGTTTCACAATATCATTCAACTTAGCATAGAACTCATCAAATCTCTCATCATCATTCATCCTAAATTCTTCCAATCTAGACGTCAACATTTACAGTTTTGAGTTCTTAACAGTTTTAGTTCCCTCGTGTGTGGTTTCTAAAATATCCCAAACTTCCTTAACAGTTTCATACATCGATACATGCCTAAACTCTTCAGCAGAAACAGCTATGAACAGGGCATGAAGGCCCTTACTGTTCCAATTATACTCATCCAAATTCGTTTTCGACCACAGTGAAATATCGGTGGGTGTGACTACACCAGCAACAGTTGTTGAAGGTGGAGCCTACCCATTTTGAACGGTAATCAAAACACGTTCATCCATAGATTTAAGAAAGGCTCTCATTCGAACCTTCCAGTAGGCACAGTTGCTTCCGTCGACGTATGGAGGCACGGACATAGACTGACTCACCTAAACTAAACAAATAAGGGTCAGTAATCGATGTAAGGCTCTGATACCAATTGAAAGTTACGCAGTTCGACCCTAACAACACCTAGAGGGGGTGAATAGGTGTAATATGCGGAATTTAAAATTACTAACGAATTAATCATCAACAAGTCATTTTTTAATTCTTTTCTAGATGATTATCCATGCAAGTCAACTTTAGTCCTAAGTTTGTAAAATCAATCAATATAATGAAAGCAGTAATCAACATCAAGATGATCAGGGAGAAACCCAACTGGGAAAAAACCTCTGGGGCACTTTGCTAGTCAATCCATTATAAACGATTCTGTACTTACAGTATACAAGACTAGACGACGACACGAACTATTTGATCTCCTAACTGCAATTCTGACAGCTCTCCTGAATTCTATGCTCCCCTACACAAATCCAGCTGCAATCACCAACGCTCTCCTGGAACTCCGCTATCCTGCAGCAGCCGCTAGCTTGGTAGAATCGCCTATCTACTGTGGATCACGAAGAACAACCCATTTTTCACAGACTGGAACTCCAGTCTCCTTCCTCGATCTTCAGCACCTCTGACAGATATGTAGGAAGTAGTAGTTTGATATTTGGATGTTGAATCCGATGTTTTTCTAACCAAAATACTCACACAAGATGAATGTTGAATAATATGATATGGAATAATCACTCTCTGATCTGTTTCTCTCAATGTTCAACCTTAGAATCTCGTACAGGTGAATTCTGATATTTATATGAAGGTCAAAAAATCAATGGGCCAGGGAAAATGCTTTTAAAACGCGAAATAAAAAATGGGAAATAAAGTTGTCGCTCGAGCGAAGGCTCAACGACAGTCGAGCGACAGGCTGTCGCTCGAGCGAAGGAGGAGCGACAGTCCAGCGATGCAGTTTCTGTTTTTGTATCTCGAGTCAACCCTTGGCGACAGTCTAGCGAAAATCTGCGCCATTTTCCTCCTTGTTCCAAACTGGAAACCCTAGACCTATTTAACTAAGTTTTAAACAAATTGCACATTACTCCTTGAACTTTTACAATATGTCAATTTCAGTCATTTTGTTTACATAATTTTTCAATTACAAAATCAACTAAAACCTAACTTCAACCTTTCAATCGGACCAGCAAAAGTAATTGCAGTACTAAAGGAGATGGGCGACACAGTAAATTGGCCAGAAAAAATGAGAAGATCTAGTGACCAACGTGGTAAGACTAAGTGGTGTGAGTTTCACGCAGACCACGACCATCGACCAAATGATTGCATTGCGTAAGATTGAATGTGGCAGAGCTGTTGAAGCGGAGACACCTTATTGACCTTCTGACTGAAAAAGGAAAAGAAAATTTTGCCAATCGACAACAACAACCACATAATAAGCCAAGCTTAGGCCAACGGTCATGCCGACACATGATAGAACTATTAACTTCATCACTGGCGGGTCAGAAGTTAGTGAGATAACAAGGCCAGCGTTATAGAGACATGCTCATCGAGCAGTTTATCTTTGCCGGAGTTTAAACCAAGTAAACGAGTTAGACTCACCACGGATCATTAGCTTCACTACCTCTGAGGCTATGCAGCTACTGAATCTACATCATGATGCTTTGGTCATATTTTTGAACATCACCAATTGGTTAATCAAGTGCATCTTGATAGATAATGGTAGTAGTGCAAACAGACTTTTTTTGGGAAACCATTAAGGCTATGGGGATTCCAGAAAAAACATTACTCGTCATACAGTGCTAATCGGTTTCAGCGGTGAACAAAAGAACACTTTGGGTAAGATTGTACTGCCTGTTTATCGAGAATGAATTAACCTCCACACTCGATTCCTTGTAATGGATAGCCCATCAGCATATAATGTTATCTTGGGAAGACCCTGGATCTATGAAATGAAGGCTGTACCAACAACATTTCATCAAGTACTCCGCTTTCCTACCAAATGGGGAATAAGGGAGATTCACGGCGGCCAAAGGGATTCTAGAGACTGCTACAAGAATTCACTGTACTCTGACTAATGTCCTTTATAACAATTACATCAATTTCAGCCCGTCATCCCAGACCGTCCATATGTGGAAGAGCTAGATGAAGTATAGATCCACCCCGACTTTTCGGAACACAAAACTCAAGTGGGGGCAAGGTTAGAGCCAACGCTTAGGCAATGCCTTATCAAGTTTCTCATGGAACACCATGATTGTTTTGCTTGGTCTCACACAAACATGACCGGTGTTGAACCAGAGATAATGACGCACAAGTTGAATGTCAATCCCCAATACATTCCAATCAAACAGAAGCGATGAAGGTTTGCTCCTAAACGAAATCGCATTATTAATGAAGAGGTACAAGAACTTATAAAAGCTGGCTCCATACGAGAAGTCTATACCCAGACTGGCTCGCTAATGTCATCGTTGTGAAAAAGAAGAATGGTAAATGGAGAGTCTGTATCGATTTCACAGACTTGAACAAAGCATGTCCGAAGTATAGCTTTCCACTTCTACATATCGACATGATGGTCGACTCAACAGTTAGGTATGAACTTCTAAGCTTTATGAATGCCTTTTTTGGCTACAACCAGATTCTGATACACCCAACTGACCAAGAGAAAACTGCTTTCGTGACAGAGCAAGGGACATTCTGCTACAAGGTTATGTCGTTCGGGCTCAAGAATGCTGGAGCAACATATCAACGGCTAGTGAATTGTATGTTCGTTGATCAACTCGAAAAATCCATGGAAGTCTACATCGACGACATGCTGGTAAAATCCCTAATTGCAGTGCAATACGTAGACCACCTGAAGCAATCTTTTTAGGTTCTAAAGAAGTATATCATGAAACTCAATCCGTCCAAGTGTTCATTCGGAGTATCCTCTGGCAAGTTCTTAGGTTACTTAGTAACCTAGCGAGGAATCGAGGCAAACTCGGATCAAATTCAATCAATTATTAACATTCTATCTCCAACTTGCATGAAGAAAGTTCAGAGGCTTACTGGAAGACTTGTAGCTCTTAACAGGTTCATCTCTCGATCTTCTGATAAATGCCAGAAATTCTATAGCATATTGAGGAAAAACAAAACTTTCGAATGGACTCCAGCATTTGAAGAAGCGCTTCAGCAACTCAAACAATACTTAACTTTGCCTCCACTCTTGTCAAAAATAAAAGATGGGGAACAACTCTACATGTACTGGCAGTATCGGAGACGGTTGTCAGTGTAGTTTTGGTTCGTGAAGAAGAAGGAAAGTAGCTTCCTATTTACTATGTCAGCAAGACGTTACTAGATGCAGAGACCCTCTATTGCCAGTTGGAAAAATTAGCTCTATCACTTGTTAGCGTAGCTCGAAAACTAAGGCCTTACTTCCAGAGTCATTTAGTAGTTGTCATAACATCCTTTCCGCTGAAGCAGATATTCCACGAACTAGAGTTATCTGGACGACTAACAAAATGGGCCGTCGAATTAAGTGAATATGATATTTCCTTTGCACCCCGTACTGCCATAAAATCTTAGGTACTTGTAGATTTCATCATTGATTTCGCTCCTAACTCTCAAGTCCTAGCCTAAAAAGAACTTATTTGCTTGATGGTCGGACAGATGATAAGCACATGGATATCCAGGTAGATGGGTCAAGCAACATTAAAGGTGAATTCCCTTCTCATTGGCTTACGGCATGGAAACATGCATACTAGTAGAAATAGGCACTCCAACATTTCGGTGTGAATGGACAACCAATGAGCAGAACCAAGTTGAATTATGTCATAAGTTAGATGTGGCGGACAAACGAAGAGAAAGAACATTGGTTCATACAGCCGCATATCAACAAAAAATTGCCCAAAACTTCAACTTACAAGTAAGGACCAGAACCTGCAAAGAAGGCGAGTGGGTGCTACGAAGAGTATTCAAGGAAGCAGGTGCATGGAAGCTTGCAGCAAATTGGGAAGGACCATACCTAATCACGAAGGTCATTGGACAATGAGCCTACAAGCTACGCACCCTGGACGGTAGAGATATCAACAGCTAGAACGCCATTCATCTTCACAAATATTATTTCTAAGCCTTCTAAAACTCATTTCATTTCTTGTGTTTTCATTTACACTCAAACCTCATACTAATTTAAGCATCGGAGAGCCGATNCCATCGACGGTCCTAACCTTTCTTTGCTTTCAGGATAATCAATGACAAAGTTTTGCATGGACCAAACAAAGCATGCCACCATTCTATCACGGGACATTTTTGTTATTTCCTTAATGATTTTGTAATTTTCTTTTTTAAATTCTTTACTACCATCGGGATCAACACTAACTTAAGCATCGGAGAGCCAATGGAGGCAATCCTAACCTTTCTCTGCTTTCAGGATAATCAATGACAAAGTTTCGTATGGACCAAACAAAGCATGCCACTATTCTATCACGGGACATCTTCGTTATTTCCTTAATGATTTTGTAATTTTCCTTTTTAAATTCTTTACTATCATCGGGCCATTGGCGACCATACTTTGTCTTTGCTCTCAAGAGATTTACCAAGTAGAAAAGTGTATCACTCATTGAAGATCAAGAATTTTCTCATTAACAGGGACATGGAGAACTTCAAATGTGGGGAAGGAAGATCCCGTACAGATACTAAAAATTATTTGAAATCTAGAAGTTGGTCGATAAAAATGACCTCGTAGATTCTATCAAGCCATCTAGATGAAGAAGACGATACGATTGCCTTCAAGCCGTCTGTACAAGTTTGGTCCTACCATTACCATATGCCAATTTGAACGAAGACTCAGTTGCCTTTGAATTGGGATAGTCTTCAAGCCAACCAATAACATTACCTATCGAATCGAATGGATCAGACTAATCAAGTCCTTTGTAAAAATGCATTTATGAGTCTATCTTTTTGGAGGTAAGTCCGATTTTCATTTGAATATTATGATCATAAACTCTTGTTCTTCGAATAAAATTTTAAAAATTTGATATTTCATCAAGTTTTAGCATACAACCCCAATAAATCTACATATTATATAATTTAGAAAGACATAAATTTAAATACGCTTATACAAATACTAATACATAAGTCCGAAAGGAAATGCCAGCCAGGAAGCACAATTGGAAAATGTTCTACCAAAGGAGTTTAGGCTCGCCAATCATTGGCATTCCCTACTCTCTCTTCGGAAGTAGTCCTGACTTTGAGCTGCTCTTCTACCATATTCTACATACCAAGCATCTGGCACAACGTTTACATTTCTTATAATCATTCATAAGAAAGGCTCTAGTGGCTTTTTCAACATCCACCTGGAACAATCTAAGCCCTAGAAGATTTCTTTAAGTTTTTAAGCTCTTCCTCCAATGCAAGCTTCTTACGAGCCATCTCAGCTAGCTCATCTATCACCTTTCTAGCAGCCAAGTCAGCATCTTTCTTCCCAACCCTCAAACTTTCAACTTCTCCACATAATGAAACATTTGTGTCCGTAATGAGCGCACATTTTTGGCCTATCTAACAACTTCATTTTTCTAAAAAAAAATGGCGCCTTCCAGACCTTAGAATCAACTAAATAAGTTCGCGTCAAATGAGTTATCCATAATGAAGTATATAAAAAATAAGGGCATGTTCTATTTACCATTTTCAAGCCGTTTTCTGTTTTCGATTTTCCAAAAAAACGCGTTTTCTTTCCTATTTTCGAAAACGCTTTTTTAAAAACAAGTTAAAAATTTATAAAGAAAACCCAAAACGACAAATTTGTTGTTTTGGGTGTTTTCAGTTATAATCAAGCCAAAATTTTCAAAATAAGTTTTGGGTGTTTTCAAAACAATTTTTCAAAATACCAAAAGAACACATTTTCAACAATCTCAAAATAAAACTCAAAACACAAAACCTAAAATGAATTCAAAACTTAAAACACAAAACTGAAACACAAAGAGAACAGCCCCTAATATACCTGAAAAATCTGAGCCATTGTGTTCTCGGCTGCCTTTACTGGTCCAAGTTGCTCATAGCGCGCACGGTCTTTAGGAAATAATAGACCTTCACCAAGTGTCACCATCCCCAGATTAGAAAATGCAAACGAATCAGAGGGAAAGGTAAGCACGATCGAATCATCGTCCGTTGACAAAGGCCTTGGATGACCGCATTTGCGGACAAATGAGGAGGGAACATCAAGTAGCTCGGTTTGGCTCGAGAAATCATCAGATAAGACTGTAGTGTTGTCAGCTAGCGTTGTAAGATGAGAAAACTTCTTAGACTTTTCTTTCGCTTTTCTTCTTTCTAGAGCTTCAAGCGAAGACCCTACCACTCTGACATAATTCGATATGCAATTTCACGTTCAGTCGAGTTAAGCGGACCGACTAAAGGAAGATCACTACCAAGAATTTTCATACCTCTCTTTATCATGACAATAGGGATTTTATGTATTGGGAAATCGGAAGGAATACCTCGTGATTTTGCCGAAGTATGATCCCACAAGCCACTAGAAGAAATAAACTCTAAAGACAAAAGGAACCGGCAGCCCTTTGAGCCTTAGGTATTGCTAAGATCTTTAAAATTCGCTATTTCACAAACAAGCCTTTGACGGGCCATGTGTTGATGTGAAGACCTGCAAGAAAGTGAAATAAAAACCTTGAATTAGTAAAGCACGTCGAGAGTAAGCGATCTACGAAGCTTACCACGTGACCATGCTGAAGGGAAACGATAATTCCCTGTCGAATCCAATCGCCTAATGCAAGAAAATAAGACCCTTTCCAACCTTTATCTCCCAAGGAAAGTCCAGTTATCAATCGATCGTTATTTTTCCTTACATTTAAAGAAAATTGGCCTTTCTCACTGTCATGCTCCCTTATAAGTAACCGTGCAGCAGCTCTGCCATGCCAAATGAGATATCGTATTGCCCAGTCAGAACTTGGAGAGCCAATAGCAACCACTAAGAGTTAGGCATGAGTTGACTGGATGCAATATCAAAATATTCTAGCACCATCTCAACCATGTTAGGAATCTGAAATCGAAAGCCATCTTTAAATGGCAACTTATAAAAAAACGTCCAGCCTCGGACATTCCATGAAACTCTTTCGTGCGGCTACGGTAAGCGAAGTTGAACAAATGCTGGAATACCATAAGCATCCCGAATACCTAACAAGTCGTTCTCCATCAGCATGCTTGGTATGTTCTTGGTGAACAAGACATCACTAGCGCTTGGACGGCTATGTTCATAAAAACTATGTCCTGAATAGCCACCATCAATACCTGGATCAGTCCATCAATAATAATACTTGCATTTTCTGGATTGATCACATAAGATGAGTAAATCCCCGAACCACCAACAAACCCCGCCAATGTTGGCTCGTTTGGACAATCCAAACTAGTATAATTGTCTAGCAAGGAGTTTTCATCTAGATCACTAGACCTACTCCCGCCTCCGGTCGGCAAAGGATCGGTCGAAATTCTATATGGAACATCACGATAATCAGTCCAATCCATGTTTTCATAAAAAAATAACTACTCACTAGTAACCTCACTCTATGATGGATCAAACACTAGAAACAATGAATCAAAATCGATGCATCCACTGAAGAACTTGAAAAAAATGTTTGAAGAACACTCAAGAACAAGGCAAGAACTTGAAGAATGGAGAAGAGAAACTCACCAAAATCCTTACGGTTCCTTGAAATCTACCCAAGTTACTTGAAAAATGAATTATGAAACTTTAAGTAGTGAAAATTGACACGCTAAATGAGTTGGATACATAAATTCACAAATTTGTTCAAAGTCATCAACCAAATGTGTGCACTAGATAGACATATTTATCGGTCGACTAATATTCTCTACAAGACATGTCGCACGGTCTAGACGAACCGATTATTTTTCCATTTAAAGTGGACATATTATCGGCCGACTAATACTCTCTATAAGACATGTCACACGGTCTAGACGGATCTGTAATTTTTCCATTCGAAGTGGATATATTTATCAACCGACTAATACTCTCTACAAGACATGTTGCACGGTCTAGACGGATAGGCAATTTTCCCTTTTACTCGATCGTCGTGCGAATATATGTCAAAACATGTCACGTGGCTTTTGAGCCGTTTGTTATTTCGAACAGCTTCCAAGTCATACGGTACCAAAAACCAAAAACGGCTTAAAAGCAAAAAACAGTATAAAAAATCATACAACTTGACAGGCGGTACCTCATTCTTTCAAGTGTCGCATGACTTCCGATCACAAAATAAAATCGCATGGCTA